TTTTTTTTTTTTTTTTTAGATTCCATATATATGTGTTAGCATAATGAGGCATCACCTCACACCGGTCAGAATGGCCATCATCAAAAAATCTACAAACAGTAAATGCCGGAGAGGGTGTGGAGAAAAGGGAACCTTCCTGCACTGTTGGTGGGAATGTAAATTGATACAGCCACTACGGAGAACAGTATGGAGGTTCCTTAAAAAACTAAAAATAGAACTACCATATGGCCCAGCAATCCCACTACTGGGCATATACCCTGAGCAAACTATAATTCAAAAAGAGTCATGTACCACAATGTTCATTGCAGCTCTATTTACAATAGCCAGGACATGGAAGCAACCTAAGTGTCCACTGACAGACAAATGGGTAAAGAAAATGTGGCACATATATACAATGGAATATTACTCAGCCATAAAAAGAAACGAAATTGAGTCATTTGTAGTGAGGTGGATGGACCTAGAGTCTGTCATACAGAGTGAAGTAAGTCAGAAAGAGAAAAACAAATACCGTATGCTAACACATATATACTGCTGTGTCTTTATCTGTCGACTTTTCCAAATCTCTTCTGGCCTCTTCACACCTCTCTTGCCCTTTTGAGCCAGTGGTGCCCTAATCTTTACCTGATCATTCTGAAGCTAGCCATTTAATAAAATGTATCTCTTCTCAATGTTCCAATAGATGCCATTAGATGAGATGAGACCTGTGATTATAATAACCACAACACCTGACAATTAATAGGCATTCAATAAATATTAGTTACATTTTTGTTTTTAAAATATCAATATGGTGCCCAGGAAAGCACAAAAGCTTTGAAATCAAATAGGCCTAAATTTTATTGCATCAAGTATTAATTTGCTCTAGGATCTTGGGCTGTATTTTTCACCTTTCTCAGTCTCTGTGTTCTCAGCTTTTTTTTAAAAAGTCATGATAAAACCCATTTTACAAAGTTATGTTGAAGGTTATCTGTGCCAGTATCCATAAAGTACCTAGCTCAGTTTCTAGCAGACAGTAAGTGCTCAGTAAATATTAGTCTCCACACACAACACATCCTTCCCCTACCCCACCCACCTCTTAACCCAGAACACCCCTGTGAACAGGAAAGATTAAGGAGACTTGGCTTCCAGCTTTGCTCTTTCTAGTCACATGACTTTGGGTAAATCATCCTAACCCCCTGGCACTGTTTCCCTATCAAATAGTCCCCCGTGTCTACTACAAAAGTTCCTTTTAAGGATCAAATAAAATATCAGATGGGTGATAACATTCAATAAACATGGCGTGTTCTCTTAATGTAAGGTACCGTTATTGCTGGTAGCGATTGAACAGTAAATGATTGCTGAATGAATTATTGCTGATCTCTTCCCCCCACCCCCCCCCCCCCCCCCCCGCAGCAGAGTGGGCCTGTGGAGGGGCCTGGGCTTTCCGGGGGAAGAATCCGGACCTGTGCACCTGGGCTGCAGCCCCATCAGCCTTTGGCACAGGTGGATGCTCCCTGCAAAGCCCTCCCCCTCCAGCCTGTCTGAAGGCTCACTGTCCTGTAGCAGGACGTAGCTGGAAAAGCTGGTTAAAGGAGGAAGTTCTCTAAAAATTGTGTTTAGACCTGAAATGTCTGATTCTCACTTAAAACAAATGAATATTTTGGGGCCCATCTTCTAATGCAGTGCCAGGGTCTTTTCCTGCCATCTGGGCTGGCTGACGGGAGCCCCGGGTCATGGTTTCCACATTGACCACATCTCTAATGCCTCATCTGGTCATTTCTTTACAAGCACCTTGAGTCTGTGTTCATTTTAAAGAAATCTGAATCCTTGTAGATTATTTTCCAAGTCATCCTCGTATGGTTCTTCAGCCGTTTCCTAGCACCCTGTCTCTCCCAAGACCTTTCAGCAGCATTTGACTTCGTTTTCAGAGAGTAACTCTGGGCTCATTTAATATTTAAACGGCAGACTCGCACTAACAAACAGGTTTGGGCTCTCTGGGAAGCTTATAACATGATTGGTGGTGGAAGGTCATGGGGGCACAAAGTGACCCACTGTTTTTTTTTGTTTAATATTACATCTTTATCGAGAGAGAATTCACAGACCATACGATAACCCATTTACAGGTGGTTTTCAGTAGATCCAGAGTTGTGCAGCCATCAGCACAGTCAGTTTCAGAACACTTTCATCACTCCTCCTCATTAGCAGGCGCCCTTGCTCAGGATTCTATATTGAACACACGCGGTACCATCCCTTCCTCTAGCGCAGCGAGCTCCTAGGATTGACTCTTCGTAAGTCGTCATTTCTTGGTGCTCTAGGACCAACCTGAGAACTCCAGGGTGAAGAGGGAAGCATAAAACAGGGCTGAGAAGGTGCCAGGGCTGAGGACCACTGCCCCACTAGGCCCAGGGAAGCAGCACGCACCAGAAGGACGGAGGGACCCGTGCGGGGCGGGCTGCAACGGCCCAGCCATCCTCCAAGGGTCATTAATAAAGCTCCTCTGTCCCTTTGGGGTCGCTGTCACAACAGCAGGTATCCAAACAACTGAGAGTCTCTCTACCAGAAGGGACTTAGGACTCAGGTTCGGGCCCTCTTGTGAAGGCAGAGCTCTTTTTCCGGGGCCTCCCCAGCCTTTGGGGAGTGCGGACACGGGACCTGGGCTGCGAGGCCGCCCATCACCCAGAGGCCCATCCCAGCCCTGAGTGTTGGAGCCAGACCTGTGGTCCGGGGCCACTTGGGGGTCCCGTTCCGGCAGAGCGTGTGTGAATCCTGCCCTCCCCCCGGTGGGGCTTCTGGCTGAAGGGCTGTTTGTTCCCTGCAGCCGACTGGCTTCTCTCTGCAGACAAGGCGGCGGCGGCCAGCCTGGGGGAGAAGCTGAAGGAGATGGACGAGGAGTGCAGGGCGGAGGAGCGCAGGCGCGTGGACCTGGAGCTCAGCATCGTGGAGGTGAAGGACAGCCTGAAGAAAGCCGAGGCCGGGCCCGTGACGCTGGGCACGACTGTAGACACCACCCGCCTGGAGAACGTGAGCCCCCGAGTGAGTTCAGGAGCCGCGTTCCTCTGAGCTGCTTGCAGGGCCTCCTGGACTGGGCTTGGGGACTGGGGCACCCTCCCCGCCCTGAACTCAGCCCTCCCTCTCTCCTGTGACCACAGCCCAAAGCTGCCACCTCAACTCCGGCCCCGGACTGTACCCCCGTCAACTCCGCAACTGCACTCAAGAACAGGCCTCTGTCGGTCATGGTCACGGGCAAAGGCACCGTCCTCCAGAAAGCCAAGGTACGCGGCCATTCCCGGCCTCCTTCAGGGCCACGGGTGGAGAGCAGAACTGTCACCATGGTGGGGGCCCCCTTCTGGGTGGCACTTTCCTGCTTCGAGTGAGGGCTCTGCTCTCAGCAGGAAGA